ACGCTCTTTCAAGGAGGCATGCCTTGCTCTCCACCTTAGGAACACTACTTAGCTTCGATGATGTAAAGGAATTGTATGAGCTTGATTTAGACTTCCAAGCCACTTATGCCAAATGTCTCCAAAAGCCTTTTGATGGATTATGTCTTCTTGAGGGATATCTTTTAGAATGGGCAAACTTTGCATACCCCAAGGATCCATTAGAAAGCTTTTGATCAAGGAAAGTCATGAAGGAGGTCTCATGGGCCATTTTGGGGTTGACAAAACCCTAAGTTTCTTAAAGGATAAATTTTATTGGCCACACATGATAATAGATGTCCAAAGGCATTGCTCCAAGTGCATTACTTGTCTCAAAGCTAAGTCAAGAGTAATGCCTCATGGACTCACCCCCTTTCCTATAGCTAGCTCCCCTTGGGTAGATATTAGTATGGACTTTGTGTTTGGACTTCCAAGGACTCAAAGGGGATTTGACTCCATCTTTTTGGTAGTGGATCGTTTTAGCAAAATGGCTCATTTTATACCATGCCACAAAGTGGATGATGCTAGCTATATAGCTAAAATTCTCTTTAGGGAAGTGGTCCACTTGCATGGTTTACCCATGAAAATTGTGTTCGATAGGGATGCTAAGTTCGTTAGTCACTTTTGGAAGGTACTATGGGAAAAAATAGGAACAAAGCTTCTCTATTCTAATACTTGTCATCCTCAAACTGATGGCCAAACCGAAGTAGTAAATAAATCCCTATCCACTTTGTTAAGGGTACTCCTAAAAGGGAATAAGAAAACTTGGGATGATTGTCTCCCCCACCTAGAATTTGCATATAATAGAGTAGTCCATAAAACTGCTAAAAATCCTACGAAATCCTAAACCAATACACCCCCCTAAATATCTCTTAAAATAGAGACACCAAAATTTCATATCGACAAATTAAAATAAAAGGACCAAAAGGATGATTTAACTCAAAAAATTTATGTAATTGCTGCTAAAAGTTTAATTCAAGATTATAATGTATTCGTGGGGAAGAGGGATTTTGATTTCATAACTAATTATATAATAATATACATTTTTTAAAATAATTAATAGACGAAAACAATATGTATAATGCACTTGCTTTCAAAAAGAACACTAATAAACTTCAAGGTAATAAATCATTAGACATGGAATTGAGAAAATTTCAAATTTAAAATTCCTGTTTACTATATAGTTAAGTTATTCAGTACGAAGGAACAAGAAAAAAAAAATGATACAAATGACGCCATCAAGTTATTTACCTTCTTTCAAAATAAAAAAATAAAAATAAAGCAATACTAATAGATTCATGATCATATATGTGGCGATGTATTTGTAAAACATTTCCGGAAAAAAATTCAAATTCACAGCTCATCATTTTTCTTTTCATAATAACATCACAGGAAGATGATCCCCGCATATGTGACATGATGAATTGTGTATTAATTTTATATCTATCTTTTTCTTCATTCACTTTTGCATGTTACACTTGTGAGTAATGTTCATGTATCGCTAGTGTAAATATTTTTATGAATTATTAATAAATTAGAAATTAAAGTATTATTTTATATATAACTTTTAAAATAATTATCATTAAAATAAACAATCTTACCAAATTGGATAATTTGAATAGATGACATTGTAAAATATTTGTACACAACCAATATATTTTAAATATTTTTTATTTATTCAATATTTAGTATAAAAAATAAAATAAAAAACATAAGACTCACACAATTGGATTAGGTTTAATAAAAGCTCAACACACGTAGAGTATTGGCATGAAGAAAGCCCGCTTTGGTAAAATAATATTTTTAAATAAATAAATAATTATAGTATAATGTATCTATTTTTTTTAAAAAAAATATATACCTCTAAACATAAGAATCAATTAATTAATATGAAATTCTTTCAATTTATCCGATAATTGTAAGTTTAACTGATGGGTACAAGAATGTTGAATATTTAGAAAAATAATTTTATCACATATAAAGATCTTACTTTTGGGCTCTAGCTCACTATTTTTTTTAGGTTATATATTTACTTTTTGATTATCTCTAGAAAGTGTCTGATATACAATTTTTATTTTTAATTTTATATCAATAAGCTAATTGATTTTTCATGTTTGATAATTATTTAAAAAAATTCAAGAAAATATAATTTTTCAAGAATCTTTTTTATCTTACTTTCCCACAAAAACATTCTTATGGAAGGGGTAGGTCTAACATTATACGTTTTTAATAGTTGTTATTAATTTTATAAAACGTTGTATTGTGTTGATTTGTTGTTAAGTTGTTG